CAAACAGGGAGGAAAAACAAATCGGACAAACTCAGCGGTAGGGAGGAGTGACTAGCGAGTAGCATTTCTGTGAAGGACCTGGTGGATGGCAGACTCAACAGGAGTCAGCACTGTGAAGCTCTGATAAAATCAAATTTTGGGCTACGTGAACAGGAGCTTTGCATGCAAAGCATGGGAGGTGAGCAGCACTGCTCTGTCTGGCAGCGGTTAGGCCTCAGCTGTTCTGGGCTCTGCATTTTGAAAGGATGTCGGTAAACTGGAGAGGGTCCACAGCTGAATGATGCAGATGATAAAGGAATTGGGAGCTCGGCAGGGCAAGGTTGAAGGAAGTATGATGGTTTGGTTTGGAGAACAGGAGATTAATGTGGGGGGCAGTTCTCAAATATTTGAAAGGCTGCCGTAAAGACAGCAGAGGAAAATTGTTCTGCCTTGCCATAGAGAGCAGGATGAGAGGTGATGGGTTTAACCTGCAGCACGGCACATTTAGAGCAAATCTCAGGAAAAGCTTCCTAACAGCAAGAGCAGTAGGACAGTGGAACGAGCTATGTGGGGATGTGTGGTGGGATCGCCACCCTTGGGAAGGTTTCTGAGAAGAGGCCTTGGAGGCATCTGCCAGCAATGAGCTAGAACAGCGAATCCTGCATCCGTGCCCGGGATAGGACTTGCTTGACGCGTCCAGCCTCGTGGTTCTGCAGTGGTCTCGTTGTTTCCATATACTTCCCCATCTCCCCGACCGCCTCTGCTGTCCCACTTCTTCACTGACTGCACCGCCGCCCACCTTTCTCAGGTGCAAAACCATATTTCTCTCCTTCCAGCCTGGACGTCTGGGCTCTCGTCCCATTGCGATCCACTGCGATCACCTCCGCGGGTCTGAAATTACTGCTGTGCCTGCATAGCTGCTCTCTCTCAGGGCCAGTGATGGAGTTACTTGGAGACCAGGCAATGCTCATGTAGCAAAATATAAAAAGGATGGCAGGCAGCCTGGCCTAGTGACCCTGGGCTGGGGCTGAGCAGACTTCTGTTCTGTCCCTGAAGTCTGTGGGCAACTCTGTTGTCTTGCATTTCAAGTGGGGTCATGCCACTAACCTGTATAAAGTGCTTAGAGAGCTATAGGAAGCCTGCAAAATTCAAAGATTGTAGTTTTATATGCTAATTACCATGCTTTCTTCTAAGTTTTTCACACCTGTCACATCTGTCTGCCACCTCCTGTCTTAATTAATAAGAGGAAAGGACTGCCGTTTTGTATAACAGCAACCATGGCAGGGCGCTGCCCTGAGCCTGGGAATGCAAATAAACCTAAGCCTTTCGATCATGAACTGAAGAGGAGGGAGCACTGGCGCCCGAGCAGATGGGAGGTGAGGCCCTGTGGCTTGTGGTATCGACAAAGGCATGGGCTGATCAGGGGATTAGTGAACACAGTGAAGGGCGGAGGCAGGACCTCTGAGAGGCCCTTTGCCTTTGTGACGCCCCTGATTTTGTCTTTGCACGAACAGGCCACTTGAAAGCACGTGCCTAGTTTTGGGAAGTCCAAGATATGCTGATCTTGAACCCTAGAAACGCACATGGCTGCGTAGTGTGGACGGAAGAGATTGGATGTCCCTTGTATATTAGGTGCAGAAGGATGCTCAGCCTGTATAACTTATATCCTTACGAGTCAAACCTGAGACTTATTTCCTAGTAGATTATTTAGCTCCCTCAATCTTTTCTTCCCCCCCTTATCTCAGCGCTCCTGTCCTTTCCTTCTGAGAGCACCATCAGTTTGCCACTGACTTTGATCTCATGTCTCGCCTTCTGGATATGTATTGATCTAGATAAGGTGTGATTATATTTTAACAAGCATGCTACATTCCAGAAACTCTTCATCCTGGGCACGGCATGGCACGAGCAGGCAGAGGGGGAAAGGGAGGCAAACGAACACAGGCTGCTGCACTGTACAAACATTCAAGGGACAAGAATAACCAAGGTGACCCAAGCTGAAGGCCAACTTTCTGAATGGTCACAATGTGTTGGCTCTTATATGCCAAGGCTCTTCACAATCCCCTTTAAGTCAACAAAAGTCTTGTCCCTGATTTCAGCTGGCTTTGGCTCAGGTCATTGTAAAATAGCCCATTATATAAGGCTGCCCCTGAGAGGTGACGTGTTATATGGAGTATGCTACTAGAGGGAGAAAATGAAGTTCACTCCAATGCTAAGGACCTGATTGAAAGCTGGGAAAAACCAACATTTCTCCTCTTAGCTCTGAATGGTGGGGGCGGGGGGTTAAAGTGAAATCTCAGATGATTTCCATGCCCTGAATGAAGTGGAAAAGAGTTGAACACTTTCATGAATCAAAAATCTGAAAGGCAGGGAAAAAAATTGGTTCAGGTCACACAGTCTTCCCAACACTTTTGAAACATTTTGTTTCCAGAGCAGCCTTTATTAGATTTATAATAAATGAACTTAAATGTGAAAATGCAAAGTCATTTTGAATGGAAAAGTATTCATCCATCCCACCCCTGCTGCAAAGTGCTGGGAGGAATGAACAGAAAGCAAAGAAAGAAGGGACCCAGACTCAAAACTCTGCAACAACCCCAGTGGGAGAAGACATTGTGGAGTATGTTTAGCATTGTAAACACCTCTGGGAACATCTGGAGGGTCTGGAAGGAAAAAAAAAATCCCTGTAGAAAGTGAATAAATGAAAAGGGTGTAGAGGTAGACTAGAGTAGGATGGAAGAGGAAATTACCACATTCCTTCAAATCGTGCACACTTTTAAAAATGAAATACGTCTTCTAAACATGGTCTGTGTCTGAAATTAAAAGGGAAAAAATTAAGTATTATAGGCATCATGTAAAGGGGGTATCTTTGCATTTGACATTCATTTTTTTTGTCCTTAGTCCAAAGTTGAGAGTCATAAAATTTGGGTGCATCTTCAATTCAAGGGTATCTTCTATAGCAGGGAACAGAAAAGAAGCTCAGCCAGTGCAGCCTCCTGCCAGACCTCCCACATAGCCGTAGCAGCATCTTGACTTCGTGGATAGAGCCCCAATTGATTGAAGTTCAGAAGCCCGAAGTCCTGGTGGTTTCTCGAGTGATCCTGGGAGTTGCTTCCCTGCTCTGTGACTCTGCTTGCCCTTCTGTAAAATGGGAATAATGATACCAACCTACTTTGTCAAATGCTTTTCAATGGACTGAAAGAGAGAACTGCACCAGAGCTAGGCATTGTTATTTGTTATCAGAAGCTCTGGTCAGGATCTGGACCTTGCCATGGTCAGGCTCTATATAGGAGGTCTTCCTTGTCTCGATGAACTTACAGGCAAAAGGCCTGATCTGATGAATCCCAAAGCATTTGCTTCTCTCTACCCCCTGCTGCTTCTTTCACGCCCCAAATGTTCCTGTTCACCTTTCCCCTTACAAGAGATTGTTTTTTCTTTCCATCAGATACCGCAGCTTGAAGCCAAGAGAGTACGTCTCAGACACAAAGTAATGTCCGTGTAAAATCAGGCACAGGGCAGACGATTACCATATCCAAGGTGGGCCGAGGGGAAGTTGTCAAATGCATTCATTAGTTGTGCATCAGTGTTATGACGACTGGAACATATTGAATCAGAACTTTCCTGTCCCGTAAGCCGAGCTGTTGCTTGTGGGTAGACTTCTTATAGGTACATTGGTAGCACTGGGTGTTGAGGAAGACCTTGAAAGAAGAAAGGCTGGTGGGTGAATAGATGGGTGCAGGGAACGAATGCCAAGAGGCTTGTAGGAGCAGTGGGACAGGAGACGAAGAAGGCTGGTCTTGTTAGAGGGCATGGGAAGGAGACGAGAAGAAGCGAAGTGAACAGAGATAAGCAGGGATGGGCAAGATACAAAGGCTGGTGAGATGAAGGCAAGATGTGTGAATGCAGTGCAGTGGGTCAGAGGGAAGCCAGCGGAGGGATTTGGAGGAGAAATGCTAGAAGAGTGCAGATTGGGTCAGAAATGATCCTGGACGCTGCTCTGAATGGATCACAGAGCTGGAACAGCTGGAATCGAGGGGTGGTGGGACCAGCCGCACGTGCCCCTTCCTGTGCCCGGGCCAGGTGGGACCAAGGGTCCTGCCGTGAGCCAGACAAAATCCCTTGGCAGGCCAGATCTGGGCCATATTTTGCCCAGCCCTGAACTAGAGGTCCTGACATAAGGCAATCAACTGGTCACCGGGGCTTTGTTTCACATCACTGCTCAGTCAGTTGGGGCTTGCAAGCCGTTCTTCATCTTTTATCCATAAAACATGTGTATGGAGATGGGGTCTCTCCCAACAGAAAGGCCTTGAATAGAAGAGAAAATGACCACCCTGTATAAAGGGTTTTGGTTTTTTTAGCAAATCATTATGAACAAACACAGTGTTAGCAGAGTCTGTTTAAGGACTTTCTTATTGATCCGGCCCACTCTGACAAGGATGCTTTTGCGGCCATGCATGGTTTGACACTTCCCAGGAATACCCGGGTCGTTGCTGGAAAATAAGGGGCAATGCGCGCGGAGGATAAAAAAGACAAGGGCTTCTCTCTTTCAGGGAAGCTTGTGGCTTGGCTTCAGACAGGGATGGGAGATGCATGGCAAGTGCAAAACCTGGGCAGAGAAAATGATGATTTCTATTTGGGTCCCGTCATTAAAGTGCTGTCGATGCAGAAGGGGCTCAGCAAATGCTGCACCGTTGTATTGAGCAGACGCTGCTCAAGGGCTTAGCATCAAAGCGATGCTGAAGCCCCATCTGTTCTCACCGACTTAACTCCTGATGCATACGCCTCGTTAAGGCAACGGGCACGGGTCACTGTAACAGCCAGGCCATGGGGTCGTGCTACTTGCACCAGCTGAGGGTTTGGCCCAAGCTAGTCTCGATCCCAAAACTGCTCCCTCCTAGGAAAGACAAAATACCCTGCAGCTAACAGGGAAACGTGATTATTTGCGACTGTCAATCATGAAATTCATGTTAATAAGAAGCTATGTTCAAGGTGGGGCTTGCCATTACAGGACTCTCTGTTTACAGACAGTGAAGCTAAGTAATGCCGCCTTGTCTTGAAGATCAGAAATAAAAGCAAGTTCAACGGCATTTTATGGAGTGACCAAAGTGAAACATTAACAAGGCCCGGAGAGAGAGAGAGCCAGGAGCGCTTTTCGGGATTCCTCTTCAGCCAGAGCCAAGCTAGGATCACCTGGAGCGTGGGACAGAGCAGACATGGCTGAGGACGGCACAGAGCAAACGGCCAAGGGAAAAACAGGTGAGAGATTTGGTATTTGCTTTCCTTCCTGATGGCAGAAAAGACAGGGTAAACAGAGCACCAGGAGGTACAAGCAGGTTGTGTTTGCCTGTTGGTTAGTGGCTGCGGACCAGATTTTTAACGGTCTTTGGCCACTGGCCTAGTACTGATCACAATGAAAGCCAAGTGTGCAAACACCTTTAAACGTTAGAACAGATGCCTGTGCTGGAGACGCCTGGATTCTGCTCCTGCCTCCGCTACTGTTCTGATATTTGGCCTTTGGCAAATCAGTTAGCCTCCTGGAGACAGATCCTCCGATGAGGCAAATCAGTGCAGCTCTGTACAAATCAATGCTGCTCTGCTCTTCCACCCCCTTTGAGAGTTTGGCCCTCCCTGCCTCAGTTTACCGTTACTCATTTAAAACCATTCTGATGTGCCATGCTGTAGGCTAGTGCCTTGCATCCAGGGCTTCAGAGAGGTTGAAGTCAGCAGAGGTCCTCTGACCTCCTGCATAATGCAGGCTATAGTGCTTGCCGTGTATTAAGTCCAAAGACCTGTGTTTAACCAAACCAACCAATGCTTGGCTAAACCACATCTGCTAGGAAAGCACGCAGTCTTGGTCTGAAGACATTAAGGCTAGGTACAGACATTCAAAAAGCCTGAGGTGGAATCGCTCAAACCTCCGCGGGTTTCTGTAAGCACCCCGATTTAGGTCAGGACCGAACAGAACCGGAGTTCGTCTTTAGAGGGGTGGTGAGACTGCCTGCATTGGCAAGGCCCCAGGTTGA